TGTGGCCCTGGTGCACTGTGCACAGCCTACGCCACTCAGAGATGTAGGTGTGAGCTTTCAGCATTGTTACACTGACTACCAAGGCAGTAACTTCCAATTAAAGCAGAGAATATTTTTGGCTTCTCAGAAATGATTGACGTGGCTTTGGAGATCTATTTCTGTCCCACTTTCTCAAGTTCGTGTCCTTTGTGGTAGCCAGCAAGGAAAACACTACTCTGCTGCAAGTTTAATAGAATAAGCTCTATGTTTTCTGTCTTACTTCAGCCTTGACATGCTGAGAAGCCAACCTTTGATTGACCTAATGTCATTTTGTGCTTTAAGCATTTGGTTTACCTACTTAGAATTTTTCTCTTCAATAGACTTAACTTTTTTGGTATGCCTTCTTAGGTTTCTACACAAATTTTAATACAGGTAAGAAAGCTTGGATGAAACCAAAACTTGAACAATATTGAATGTGCTGGTAAGGCCATGACAATAACCCTCAGATTTTTTTACATGAGTGGTTTATAAAGGAAGAAGGTTAGTTTTACCCTTAACCACCTCCTCCACCCTTTATAAAAAAACATGTGGTAAGTGTAAAGGGCGTGTTAGGTGTTGCATTTCAGCTGTGGAATGAGTGATACCTAATATCAAGTCAACATTTGCTTTTAACTCTGGATATACTGTGTTGAGTAGTTAAGGAGAAGTTTTCTCTCAAATACCCCCTCACACAGATTATTCATTAAAAATCATAGGATGGAAAGTACATTTACAATGGTTAGGTCTGGCATACACAATCATAACCAATGAATCTAACATCAATAGTATTGATTATTGACTGACATTGTATTCTGCCAGTGAGAGGCAATGGGAAGTACACAGCATCACCTAGACAAAAATCTTACCCAAGTAAGTCTGACCTGAATCTCATTATGAGGGCACAAGCAGACAAATTCAGATTGTGGGGCATCATATAGGGCACCTGGCTTATACCCTTCAAAAATGACCTTGTGGGTCAACCTAGGGCCTGGTGGTTAAGGGACTTGGATCCCACATGGTTGGCTGTGCTGTTCAAGAAACATGCTGGGCACATGTGCACACATGTTCAAAATCCGAAAAGGAGGGAGAAGCGGAGGAGAAGGCACTGCAATGTGACCACAACCCATGGAGAGTGCTTTCTCCCCTTCTCTCTCTGTCTCTGTCTGTCTCTGGCAAGGGCATTGCACCCTGTAGCTTTTTTTTAAAAATGCCAATGTGGTGAAAGACAATAAATGAAAGACAAGTAAGGGAATGCCTCAAATTTAAAGTGACTAGTGACATGATGGCTAGGTGATTGGGTGCTGGATCCAACAATGAAGGGAAAGAAAGAAGAGAAGAAGGAGTGGGAAGAAAGAGGAAATTATCTACAAAGGGGATTTAAGAGATCATTGGAGAAATTTGGATATAGCGATTTATTAGGTAATATTGATGTTAAATTCTTTGAACTTGATCATCATGGGGAAGAATGCCTTTGTTCTTAGGTAGTATATGCTAAACTATTTTCAGTGTGAAAAGTCATGAGGTCTGCAGCTTTCAAATGATTCAAGAAGAAAGTAAACATGTATGGGGAGAGAAAGAAAGAAAGGGAAACAAAAATTAAAAATATTCATTGATGAATCAAATAAAAGGAATGTCAGAATTCATGAAATGATCCTTTCAACTTAACTGCAGGTTTCAAATTTTTCAAAGTAAAATGGTGAGGAGAGATAAGAGAAGTCTATATGAAAGAGATTTTTATAGAAATTCAGAAAAAGAGCAAAAGATGTAAGAAAACACACAGAGTGTGTGTTCAGATTTACATGTGATGCTTCAGGAGAATAAAGGCCAGGACAATGGACAGAACTCATGAATGGGGATTACAAAGGTCATATGTCCGTCATCACTAGACAAACTGGTCACGAACAGTTTGTCTAAACTCTCTACAGTAATTCTTCAGGTCTCTCATAATAAAGTAACAAACTGGGTGACTTCAAACCATAGGAAATCATTGTCCAACAGTTCTGGAGGGCAAAAGTCCAAAATCAAAGTATCAAATGGCCAAGCTCTCTGTAAAGCCTGTAGGGAGAAATCCTTCTTTGATACTTCCTACCTTCTGGTAGTTTCCAGCCATGCTTGGCTTTCAGTAGTACTGCAGTCTGTTCCTCTGTTGTCACTTGCTGTTCTGCCCTCATGGATCTCTGTTTCACTGTCTCCTCTTCTTACTGGAATAGTCATCATGTGGTATTGGGCCCACCCTAATGACCCCATCTAAAATTTGATTACATCTGCAAAGACCCTATTTCCAGGTTAGGCCACAGTCATAGGTACTAGGTGTTAACATTTCAATATATCTTTTGTGAGGCACACAGTTCAACCCATGACACTCTCCATCTTTATTTCTCCATCTCCCAAACCGGCCTGGGATGTGGTGGAGCCAGTGAAGCTAAATGAACTTTGAGTTCCCTCCGTTCTAAGAGCTGAGGCTCTGAGTGTCCACCAGTTCTAAGTTCATACATTAGTCAGCCTTGAGCAACTAAAGAGCCCAGGAGAGACAGGGGAAGTAGGAGGTTCTGGGTCATTACAAAACAGATAAGCTAGTGGCCTTTGGCAGGCATAATTCATGTGAGTCCTGATGTAGCAGGCTGTTTAATTTTGCTCCTCACACTCACCCTCGTCCTCATTTTTGTCTGAATGATTGTTGGCCAAAACGTTTTTCAAGCTGAATTCCCCTTCTGTTACCCATAAAAGTACATAAAGTAAGATGTTAACATTTTAAAATATGATTGTTATATCACAAATAATTTCTGATGTTGGACAGGCTGTCAGCTGGAGCAGATTAATGAGGAAAATCAAGATTCCTCTCTTTGTCCTTTAGGCTAAAAAAGGCAAGATAAGAAGAGAGAAGGTTCTGTAATGAATAAAGGCAACAGCACCTTCAAACCAATCAGAACCCCACCTGCTGGGTTAGCTTTGGGTATCTAGAGGAGGAGTCACTTCGAGCCCTTGGAGATCTTGCCAGTGGAAGAGTCAGGGGGGAGCATAAATGGAGATGAGACTCTATCCACACCCTTTCCTAATGTCCTTGAGCTTCAAAGAAAAAACTGTGTCTAAACTAGGGAAGTGGGGAGTTGAAAAAGAGATTGTCCAGAACTCCAGGTCTTCAGTCTTTAGTTTGCCATGTTATATACAAAGACACATCTGCTCTCTCTTATACCACCCTTCATATGACCTCAGTGGATACCAGGTATACAAACCAGGGCAGGGTAACGCTCCATCGGGGAAATCTCTGACTTGGGGGCAGGGAGTAAAATGGAAATTTAACCAAAATAAAATAGTGCTATTTTCTCCATTTTCAGAAAGTATTTAGATAAACAATTTGTGATTCAATTATAATGTCATTATGGAAGTCTGTTCTGTCACTTACTGCCAAAGCTAGGTAAAAACACTGGGAATTCACACTGTGTCATTATTATTCTGGTCTGTCTTTGCCATTCCTTTAGCACTGGGAGTTATGAGTTTGTCAGCATTTCCATTATTGCCTCTTATTTTCAAGGCCCCTGTCTTAGTCACTGAGAATTGGATTGTACTGGATAGAAGCCTAGAGGTAATTTCCTTTAGTGTTATAGCAGCTGCATTTTTTTTTTATGGTTGTGTGTGACTTTGCAAGTGATTTTACTATCTTTTTTTTATTAAAAAATTTATACCTAAGTCTGAACTCTTGTAACTTTTAAAAAAATTATTTCCACAGGGTACATGTCTCCCTTGGAGACTGAGAAAGTGCGAGAGGGAGAAAGTACCCCTCCAATGGGGCACAACCATGGTGTAATCCCTTTTTCTCTATTTTTCTGTCCTGTCAGAATTTGGGGATCACATGCACGACACCTACTTGAACCATGGTCAGCTGCATGGGAGTCCAGCAACGTAACCATTATGCCATCTGCTGGTCCCTCAAACTCTTAGTGTATATATAAAACTCTTATTCAAGATTGGGATATGAGTCATGTGAAGCAAAAGTTTATGAGCAATACACAACTCGTGAAAGGGTCTGCTTTGTGGTGACAGAACAGGGCATGGACAGTAAGTAGATGAGTGCGTGTAATAATCAATCGTGGTTCTGTATGGTCACACATAGTGTATATCTGGATTGTCAGTGTAAAAGAAGAGAAAACATGGTTTAGTTGTAGACATCAGGATCTTCTCATCAAATCATAGAATTTCAATATCTGAAGAGGACCTCGAATCTTATCTCATCAATCAGTTATGGACACTTAGTCTATCAATTTCACATTCCCTCTTCTGCTCTGACAGTAATATATCAATTATCTATTGCTTCATTACAAATCAACCCAGAACTTAGTGATTTAAAACAATCACTGAATAGCTCATGCTTCTGAGTATCGGCAATTTGAACTGAGCTTAGCAGGTGGTTCTTCTGTTGGCCTGACCTGGGTCACTCATGTGGCTACAGTTACCTGGCGAGTCAGTCAGAAACTGGTTGGTCATGGATGGCTACACTCACATGTCTGGTGATTAGCTATGGTGCAATGGCAACTGAGCCATGTACCTGCGGCATCCAGTAGGCTACCTCAAACTTGCTACTGGATTCTGAGTTCCAAAAGCTACAAAAGAGGGCAGCTCCCAAAGCACAAATTCTTTGCAGGTCTCTGTTCAATTCACATTTGCTAATGTGTTATTAGCCAAAGTAAATCACATGAGCAAGTTCACGTGCAAGGAAGTAAGGAGGTTAGACTTCATCTGTTGATAGAAGGGAGAACAACATAAAGTATGCATTCATTTACTTTTATTTGAAAACAAAGATCTCATCCTGGTAGCTTCAGCTGGGATCTCTGTAGTATTCAGTGTCATCTGAAAAGAGACAGAAAGGGAAATAGTCTTGGGCCTATGTTCACAAAGGACCAAAGCCTTCTAAGGGAAGTAAGAATTCATCTTAAGGAATATAAGTGTCATGAGATTGTCCAAAGACCTTGAGTCAGTGATAAGTAGTGGGGGTGTCTCAGCACAGCTCCTAAGATCTGTAATCGAAATCTGAAGAGAGAAAGCTGCAATAAAGAACAAAACAGGGTTTTAGTTTAATGGAAAATTGATGCTCACAATTTAGTGACCTGGGGGCATTTTAGTATCTCTTAACCATCAAAGAGGAGGAATGTGGACTGCCACACATAAAAGAAAGATTAGTCAAACATTTAAACCAAAAATCAATAATGATAATAATAATAAAAGTTAGTGCAGACACTGTTGGTTGTCCACCTACCATCCAGCCCCTTTCCTCTATGCTTAACCTTCATGGACTTGGACTTAGGATACAGCCTCACGGAGAAATGAATGTTTATTATTCCAAGCCAATCATGGTGATTCCATAGGCTAGAGAGAGAAAGAGGCCTAAGTGTATGTGGGGGTTCGCAGGTAGGGAGTCTTCTTGTTCTTGTAAACAGGATGACTGCAGAAATGTCTGATGCCTTTAGACTTGCTGTGTGAAGGGGTGATACCTGGACTTGTGGCATCTATTGAGGATGTTGCTGTAGAAATATGCAAATAACTTGAGTCCTTGATGATACTACTTAACTCACCTAACTCTGGGCGTCCTGTGAAATAGTAGTTCCTTATTTTTCAAGTCAGTGGAGTCAGAGTTTCTCTTTCTTGCTACCAAATACATTCCTAACTGATGTATAGGTTGAAGCTGGCTTGTTTACTTTTTAATTAGAAAATGTGAGTTAAAACTCTTCATTCCAGCTAAATAAAGGATTTATTGTCATGAATAAAACAGGTTAAAAACACTAAGATTTAAGTGACCACATTTATTTTTAAAAATCTGATCTTGATCTATTGCCACTCTTTTTTAAAATTAAGCTCTTCTCTTGGCAATATGTTGCCAAATTAACTCAGCTTTGCGAGCAACCAAAAGTACTAAAGAAGACTACCTTGGAGCATTTTTCTCTAGACTCCAACTAGGTTCTGCTGTAGTAGAATCGTTTAACTCTGTATGTTCAGAATTTCCCGAAGCATCCCTTTTGCCTATGGGTTGGTGACAGTGATGCAGCTTAAATTCATTGAGAAGTTCAGAGTGAAGACCCTCTGAGTTGGATTTGTTGTTTTCTTTTTCCTAGTTTAGAGGTGGCTCCAGAAGCCCCAGCTTGGAGATCTATGTTCATGGTTCACCAGAAGCTTCATGGTACAGAATATGCCAAGCATAAAGGAGACCAATGCCAAAATTTAACAGTTTTCAATGAGTTCTGAAAAACAACAACTATCATTTGCTGAGCATCTACTACTTGTAGGTGTTGTTCTAGGTATCTACGCATACTATGTCTTAATCCTTCCAATTACCTTTTGAGTTGGTACTATTAACTTCCCCATTTTACAGATGTGAAAATTGAATTTTGGCATAACTGCAAGGCTTCAAATTCAAACACTTTGTACCAGGCTTTTAGCTACTACACCCCACTGCCTCTTACAAAATGTTCTAAACATCCATGTGGGTCACACAGTGTTTTCTGTTTCTCTGTGGGAGGATCTACATAAAGAGCAGAACTATAATCAGGAAGTGGCTTGGTAGGTATTGTGTCAGAGCAAGTAGAATCAGTGATATAAATTAAAAGGTTAATGACAGGACCCACTACTGGGTCAAAATATACCCACTGCCATGATAGGACAATTGTATTGGGGGGTCATAGGCTCCTTCCTCTGGGGTTGCCAACTTCTGCCTCTAAGCTTGTATTTCCTTTTTAATTGTTTCTGGAATGGCAATTACCCTTCTATTGATTCCTCCCTTCTTTTACAGAGTAATACCTACAATTGTGTTCTTGTTCTTCCTGTTTTGGCCTAGCCAATATTTGGTGTTTAAGATGACTGTGATTTACTATACTTCTATGACTATTGGCTTAATTAGTCAAAGACGAAAGAGCTCTGAGCGATACCATGCCATCTTCCTTTCCCTTATTTCTAGTCTAAGTCCTGAGAATTTTATGCCACCACTGCCATCTCTGTTGTAGTAACCGAAACTAACTTGATTAAAATGAGACCTTCGTAGTCTTCCTACCTAAAACTTTCTTCTTTCCTGCCCAGCTAATACACACATGCTGCCACCTAGAGAAAGCCCTGCTATTCACCTACCTCTTAGGTAGCTCCCTTTGACTTCAAAATAAAACCCAAGATCCCTAGTGTGGCATTCTAGGCCCTTCATGATCTGGCCACACACTTACCAATGTTCTTGCCTTCCAGGAATTCTCCATCCTTCAGCCCCAGTGCCTTTGCTTGTGCTAGTCCTGTCACCTAGAATGTCCTTTCCTCACGTTTCTGCCTGAGTCATTTTTCTATTAAGGATACCTACTCCTTTTGTTTTTAATTCATGATATAGTGTGTGCGTGCATGCTAGAAAGTGAGTGAGATGGAGAGAGAGAGAGGGAGAAGCACTCTCCAAGGACTTGGTCACAGTGCAGTCACCCTCCTCCTGTCCTCCAGCCTGCCAGCATCCTGGGCACATGGGCACATACCCAGCATGTTTTCAGGCCAACTCCCAGGGATTTAAATTGCTGGACATATGGCTTCTAGCTCTCCAGTCTAGTACACTCCTGATTGCACCACAGAGGCTGGGCCGAAGCTACCTACTTCCATGGGCTCCTTGATTACTCCTCTCTCCTCTGTTAAAATGATTCCTACTCTCCTCCAATGTGTCCCATGGAGCCAGGGAGCAGGGTGCAGTCTAGCTTCTTTATGTTTAGCTCAGTGGCGGTAGAAAAATCATGGGCTCTGGAGTCTAGCGCCTGGGGATGCCCCAGCCCTGACCTCTGGCTGCCTATTAGAACGCCTGTTCTGCTATTCCGTAATTATCCATTTACCCGCCTGTTTCTCCACTTGGTTATGGCCCAACTTTAGGTTTGCGTCTGATCACTTGGCAAGGTTCATGGCACTGGAAGCACCTTGTAACTGTTTCCTGAAGAGTCAGAGAGTGAACTCATTAATCCCAATTGCTCTTCTTCCACATGATGTGACCTCGGGAACATTACATAACCTGCCTGTGACTTTGCTTCCTTACTTATAAATTGGGGTCACAACACCTACTTGGAGAGGTTATTGAGGCAATGTATAAGGGAGCTTCAAAAGTTCATGGGAGGCATATTAAGAAAAATGCATGGATTTCAAATGTTTTCACAGCAAAATAAAATTGTACTTTAATTCCATTTTCCATGAAATTTTTGAAGTCTCGTATGTTTAAAAAAGAGAGAATAAATTTTAAAAAGGGAATGAATATGAGGGAAGGTCCCTGTCACCTGAGTAATGAAAAACAAGTTACATAACAGTGATAGCAGTAATAAGAGCCATAACATTCCCAATAGTTGTCACCTGCTAAGCATTTTACACCCTTAGCCCAGGAACTTTTTGAGGAAGGGGTTACTGTGCTTGTCATACAAATAACAGAACTGAGACTCAGGGAGTGAAGTATGAGCCCAAGCGGTGGAGCTAGGATGCAGAGCAAGCCTCAGAGGCTAAGAATTGACATCTCTGAGCCCCTCTCAGGGTGTGCTGGCAGCTGGCTCCTCGGCAGAGTCGGCAGGAGACTTGGTCGCTGCTGTCCTCAGTTGATGCTACTCTTAATAACCTTGAGGAGGGCAGGCCCAGTGGCTACTGCAAAGAGCAGAGGACACCACAGCAGACACCCAAAGAGCTGGTGCAGAGCAGGAAAGAGGAAACAGGTTTCAGTTTGGGAAGTGCAAACCAAGCTAGCCACAGGGAGCTAATCCACAGGGAGGACAGGGAGGTCAGGGGAGAAGGGGAAAGGAGAGCTGGATGCTGACAGGCAGCGAGGCTAGGTGATGGACAGTAACTGAGCGCCTGCTCTGTAACGTGACGAGGCGCAGTGAGGCCAAGGCTATTCTGGGCAGCACTCACTGGAGCTGTCGACGTGCAAAAAGGCCCTGCTCCCTGCTTCATGTGCACAGGGGAAAGGCCAGATAAGAGGTCCAGTGCATGTGTGTGGCATGTGCACAGTGCATGCATGTAGACATACATGCATGTGTGTACATACGCACAGACACACACACTGTATACTGATCCCCATGTCACTCCTGTGAACTTGTTAGCTATCTTTCTAAATTTTAGCTATATATTTCCTAGTGTCTTTAAGTGAAATTGTGAGGATATTGTGTTTATAGAATATTGGGTTGGGGCCAGGTATGGTGGTTAAGATGGTAGACCCCCACGTGGTTTACCGTGGTTTGAGTCCCAGACCTGGCGGCTTGATTTCTTACTTTCCCTTTCTCTCTCTCTCTCTCCGTCTCTCTGGTCAAATAAAAAAATAATAATAAATAAAAATTAAATTAATAATCCTAAAAAAAGCAAAAAAAGAAAATTGGGTATAGATGGAAGTGGATAGGGAGTCAGCAGATAAGGATATGAAAAAAAGTAGCATTTCCACACACATCTCTCTTCAACTCTTTCTCTTTGAGTCCATCTAGAAACAATGTTGCTTAAAAGCAGGAGCCGAGTTTACATACTGCTGGCCCCTTTAATACCTATGTAAACTTACTTATTGTACCATATCTGAGTGTATTTCTTCACTGTGAAGTGGGAAAGTCATAACACCTACTCATGGGGTTACAGAGAAGATGAAATGCAAAACTCTGTTCTTGTACAAGTCAGTCCTTTGTAAGCAAAGATCATTTGTCCCTTTAAATCTGCCCAGGGGTTAACAGTAGTGTATTCACAATTTGTCTGTATCCTGCTTATTCAGATGCCTTGGGATTTTGATAAACCATACATTGCAAAGATTTACAAATTCATGGTTAAAAAAAAAAAAGTCAGTTAAAGGGTTTGTCTCTAGAGCTCATAAAGTGATCCAATCTCTAGGAAGCTAGGTTCAGAGATACACAGGCATTAGAGCCACATCTCTATGGACTTCTGGGGCCCTTTGAGGCCTGGCACCATCAGAAGGATCCTTACATGTGGATATCTTGGCGGGTAAAGCTCAGTGGTTCTTTTGCCATTCCCCAAAATTGGCCAACTGCCATGCCTCCTAAAGCTTAGTAGTACTGTTCAAATATGC